CTTTTGAACAGTGGCTGCTTTGTTTCCCCGATGTATAACTGGTCGCAGTCCTCCTGGCACTTAACAGCATATACAACAACAGAAGAACCCGTCCAGAAGACCTATACAATTTTTTTCTTTGATTTTTTACCTGGATTACTGAGATGCATCAGGACATAATGATTGTGGCAGAAATGTTCAGGTATTCCCACAGGCAGTGCTAAAGCTAGCTTTATTAGCTCAGCTAGCTACATGTGGCAGTTATTAGCACATTTAACTGTATGATGTGATGGAAAAGCTTTATAAAACRTTGTTTTAATGAGCTGTAATAATCCACTTTASTCTTGCTCTGACTAGCCACTAGCTCCCCAGTCCTGTCAGAATAAAACGTTTCTCTAAACCGAGCATATTAAAAAAAACTTCCTGCAACATTTATCAATTCTTCGTAACATTTTCACATTTGATCTATTCGTTTAAGATGGAAAATAAAATCCTGTCTAAATTWAGCGGGGCTTTTATTTTGAAATAAGTGAACAAACGTTCCAAAAAATGCCTTAAAGAAAAAGACAAAAACAAATAGCTTAGAGGAGATTTATTTTTTGTTATTTTAGTTTTAAAATCGTCGTTTTTCTTTGTTGTTTTTGACATTTTTTTATGAAAACTTGATTTCCTTTTAGTTGCTGTTATTTTTGGACAAATCCTGGACCTGAACTAGCTTTAGCCTGAACCGTTAGCCCGTTAGCCCGTTAGCCTTCCTACTTTTAAATGTTTATCTGAACATTAAATAAATCCAAACAGTTTTTACTGAAGAGGTTTTCCTTCTTTCACCTCCGGTGGATTCGATCCGAGGTGTCAGAAAGCTTCTAGCACCGTTACACACCTGGAAACCGGAGCGTGTCAAAGCTTTTCACAACTTCCTCSTCACTTAAATAAAAAAAAATACATTTAAAAAAAAAAGAGAGTCCTTCTGGTCCGAGGGATTTTCTGGAAACCACTCAAACATCCTGACAGCTCTGAGATCTTAATCTGCCCGTTTTTCTAACAGTTTGACCCAGTCTGTTTCCCTGAAGCCTCCCGGGGGACGAGAGGCGAGAAAAATAAAACCCGAGGAAGAACCGGAGAGCGAGGAGGAACCGGAGAGCATCCGAGCAGAAAAAAAGGAGATTTTAACAGAAAAGACGCAACAAAACTTATTTACAATAAAAATAATTCTRCAGTGGAAAGATAAACTTATTCTGTAAAGAGAGAAACTTTTATTTTCACTCATTTTCACCTTTTTATTTTTACCGTACGGTAATCTGTGGTGCATGAAAATAAGCTTTATTTGGTGTAAAAGTGAAGTAAGTGATGTTTAAACTGAGACGTGTTGCTGTTTGCTGTCTAATAAAGAACTTCATGTCACATTTGTGGCTTTAATCTCTTTTTTTCTTTTAAAAGAAAGTTAGGAAATCATGTAGCTGCCAGTGTTTATCAATGTCTGTTAGCAAAATATTTAAATAAGTAGTTGAATGTTAAAGTGCCTGTGACGTGCTTATCCATCAAATACAAAAAGTCAAAGAAAACATCTTTTTATTTAAGAAACCTTGTGATTTAACTCATTTTACCACATAACTGTCAGGTTTTCTTTTAAACTTGGCTCAACCAATGTGAAACAGGAAGTGACATCAAAGGGGAACTCTAATTGAAACATTTGAATCTTCATCTCTTTGATATTCACTTAAAATAATCTAAAGAAACAGATTCTTCTCTACACTCTGTGTTGTTATTGTAGCAATGCTCTGTTTACTTTCAGACATTCCTCTCGTGACATCACTTCCTGTTTCTTAACATGTAAATATCTCAACTTTTCGTCACAGCGTGAAAAGAGAAACCTACAGGTCATGTGCATAATTTCATTAAAAGGATTCCAAAATCAAAGTTACCCATGTTTCATGCTGAGAT